GCTGGCGTCGGCAGTCCGCCAACGCAATTTCATGAGACTGCGACGCGACAGTTTTCAACAACGATTCTCTCAATCAGTGGAATGATTTATCAATATTGTGAAATATTTAGCCGGGCACTTACTGCGTCGTACGACCGTCGCACGATGAATCCAACTCTGTTCCCTGTGAGCGCTAGATGACGCGACGCCGTCTTGATTGTTGATGGCGGTGGTCTGAACGGATCGTCATTAAATTGATCAGTTGAGCGTGCATCAATAATGCGTATACTCTGACGTCATGTTTACGTGTTTATCTTTTGGAAAGGATTAATAATAATAATAATTCTGGATTTATATAGCGCCTCACGTTGTCACAACCTCGAGGCACTTAAAAACAACAAAGAGAAGAAAATAAACCATAAACAAATGTAGAAAGTATCATAAATTATTTATCCAATATTTTTGGGTTTTTAGTTTAGTTTAATTATTAATTCATTTAGTTTAGTTTAATTATTATTCACACAGTTCATTATTGGTAATCACGGTGCCTAAATAATCAATAAAGTAATTGTTGTATGTACTGTACTGTACCGGTGTCTATAATTACCCTTTTTTCTCTTTGAAAATTTAGAATCTGACTTAACACCATCTATAGATTCTGAAGAGAACTTAATAGATTGGGTTGCTGTACTGGTAACCTGTTTACTTTTCTGCATTACAACGTTTATATTTGCTGCTTATGATACGTAAGTACCTGCTTACAAATCTAAGATATTGTATGATACCTAAGTCACATGAGGTTCTGGAAACTACAATAGGTTATATCAAGCTAATACTATGTCCGTTGTATTTAGAATCGGTACTACGTTTATAATGGACATGTACGGATTTAAACCGGACGAAGCAGTTTTTTACCAAGGCCTTCTACTATCATTTGTTGCTCTCGTGTTTGTCGCTGTTGTATTCGTGCTCAGATACTTAAAATCGTAAGTAGAAACTTAGATGATTCATTTTCATGATCGCTAATCAAATCGTTACAAAAACATTACCAATGGACGATAAGCACCACCCCTTAGCTATTGTTGCTAAGGTAAAAAGCACATGACCATCACGTGCCGCGAAAAAATTGTGTATTTGTGGGACACGCGCGTATTCCGCGTCAGGCTTTAAGCTTCATTCCAGTTTGAAATCGCATGCACGCTTTAACAAAATCACCACGGGCTATGTTTCACCTTGATAAAAGTATATTTTTGGCTATTATTTAAGAGTTCCATGAATGCATTGTTCCAAGAAATGAATTTTTATTTGTTTCAGAATTTTAAGTGAACGAGCGTTATGGTTGGCTGGTTTTGTTATCACTCTTGCTGGAGTGTTCATCATGATGCCTTGGGGAACAAACACTATGCTGGATGAACAAGGCATGAAAAAACCCCTAACTTTTAGGCGTAAGCCGAATACGGCCTACCGTTTTTGTGTAAAAGTATAAGTTGTAAAGAACCAATCGAGATGTGGATATGATATGTGATAAGAGATGTGATATGTGGTTAGAAACCAATGACATGACTTAAAAAGACAAATACATGACTGAATGAACTTTTCCACTATAATAGCCCCTTTGCCTTTGATATAGTTTTTAAAGTGTGAGACCGTGAATTTGCATATTTTGGGACATGCGTATTGCTGGCTACTAAATAGCACCTTCTGATTGGTCTCCGAAAAAAGGGCCATTACAATACATTTGCAAAAATGACAAGCGTCGGCCCTATTTATAATTCCAATTTAATGTTTAATTAACTCTTTATTACACAGTTTTTTTAAATTTATATATATATATATATATATATTTTAGTGACGATCCGCAATAAATATTTTGCATTCTCCCTACAGCAAAACGAGAAAAGGAAGAAGTCTCTGTCTTGAACACAGTTATCGACGACGGCCAGAACACGACCTACAAGATATGTTACAAGGAATTCCATTGGTGCGAATATACTCCATTTATCCACCTAGCCCAATACCTCATCGGCTTCATTCTCAATATGGGCGTTGGATATGGATTTGCTTTTATTATGGCGTCGACTATTTATTCCAAAGTACTTGGAAATTTAAATCAGGTGAGTATAAACACGTCCAGCTATGTCCAGTTTTATTTGACAAAAACAAGCGACACGGTCATGATGGCATCACATCATCACCATAGACCAAAGATCTTATAAACACAAGATAGCGTTCTCCGCGATTTACGCGTAACAAATAGAAGCG